AAGCCAATTCTTTTTTTTCTTTCTTTCTTATATATATATATATATATATATATTATATCAAATTAATTTTAATTTTAATTTGTTTAAGTTTACAAGAACCTGTTATGCTGTTGTAATTTTGAGTTTATGTAAAGTAATCTATGCTATACAGTATGGAAAAAAAATACATTTATCTGTTTCAGATTATTGTCAAATATGCCAAAAGACAAGTAAATGTATTGCGGTTCATTGGACATTCTAGTAGTGTTTTCAATTGTAACACCCCCAAATAAATGACATAATGAAGTATAATTAATTCATTCAATCATACTAATCAAGTGGTCAAATCCCTATATTTGTATTCCATTCATGTGAGAGATTTACAAAAGGAATCTACATACAATACATATTCAAGTTTCTTAAAGAGTGAATTCATAACATGTGCAAGGATTAAAAGCAAAAGAAATAACTCAAAATGAATGTCCCAAATGCTACAAGTTCCCAGGCTTAAGCCTGGTTACACAAAAGATGGTTATTCAAAACCCATACAAATAAAGCCTTGGCTTGTCAAAATATACAACAAAAATAAAAGAGTCTCATGCTCTCAAAACACATTCCTCGCATTTAGTTAGGCAGAATCACCGTATCATTTTCTGCACAAATCCACTAGGGGTGAGTAAAAACCTTGTAGGAAGATGTTAACAAAGTATGGCCTTGTTTGGGAAATTGGCTATTTTAGTATGCTATTTTAGTAGGCTAAAATTTTTGTGTTTTGGGAAAATGATTGGATTTTTTGTAATTGGATATGTGATATTTGTGAGAGAAAAAATGAAATAATTATGAGTTTGATGTGACATTTTGTCTTATTGACTATTTTAGCCTATTTTATCTTTGTGGATTTTAACCTAAAAAGTCAAATTTTAACCTTTGCCAAACAAGGCATGAACAAAACAAACCTTCAATCCCAGGAAAAATAACATGCTGAATAAAATACAAATAAAATATAAAATGGTTAAAGGAAGCAAACTGAAGCCTGTGTGATACCATAGTCTCCTTAAAATAGATTCGCCGCCTCACCGTTGGGTACTGGAGGTACGCCGGCGTTTACTTCCCAGGATACGACGGTTTTTACCAGCAACAACAGAAGCACCTTCTGATTAGCTTAGCGAACGGACAACGGCAGCACTCTCTCTCAGGAAGAAAATTATAGGAGAAGTAGACTGACAGTGTATGGATGCCAAGGAAAAATTCTATTTTTTTTTTCAAGGAATATGGCCTCCTTTTATACACCATGGGGAAGAGGGGAGGAGCCTCTAGCCATCAAGGCTGGCAACTAATGCTAGCAAAACTGCTCAATCAATTTTGTAAAACTGATGAGCCTTAAATGTGTGAGTTATATACACATTTATGAGGCAATTTTTCATTCAACCATTTTTCTCCAACACATGTTACTAACACATGAGAAATGTATGAAATATGTGTGAATTGAAGTCATGCACAACACAGTTACTACTAATATTTCTTGAAAATTACACAAAGGGTGGTCTTTCGGAAACAGAAACAATTCCTTTTCTTTAATTTTTTTATAATACTAGCAGAAGTAGCAACACAACCGTATCGATTATATTGTGCTATAGGAAAATTAATCTATTAGATATTACATATGAATTTATTTATCTAATTCTATGAGAAACATATATTATGTTTTAAGATTGCTATACTAATTGCATATTTAAATAAAATAAACAGATTCATATAATTAGATTAAAATTATGGAACAAATACAAAAAAAAAAAATCACCAAATAATTTAATCTATTTTATATAGATTATAAACTGATATACGTAAATATATATTAAAATAAAATAGTAAAGAAGCAAATCGAAACCTGTGTGATACCACAGTTTTCTTAAAATAGATTCGCTGTCTCATCGAGGGTGTTGGAGGTATAACAGCGTCTGTTTCTCAAGATATGACGGTTAGAAACTCGCTAACACAGAAGCACATTCTTTTTAGCTCCGAAGAACTGACAATGGTAGCACTCTCTCACACAGGAAGAATATACTAGGAGCAAACTGACAGTATAATATGGAAGTCAAAAATTCTATGTAGAAAACCTGAGGAAGAAAGTCTCTTTTTTAGCACAATAGGAGAGAGATGAGGGTTTTTTTTTTTTTTTAATCTTCTTCAACAATTGCAAGGCTACTATCCTTACATTTTTTTCTTAACCAACATAACTCCTATTAATAGGATTTCTCTTCATCTCCATCATGGAGCATTCGCTATCACACTCTTCAACCACCATAAAACGGTTTTCATGATTAAACAATTTTTTATTCAATTCTTAAACCAAAAATCCATTTTTTCCCCAACAATTTGTACATAAACGACTCTGGTATCTAAAGATGAAACTTGAGTAATAGTGATATCAATATGGATAAAGATTTCTCATTTTTAAAACCTTTAGATCTCATTACAAAGGATGTCTATGAATTGCGACAAATGATATGTGTGTGTATGAGAGAGAGAGACAGAGAGATCAATAGAAAGCTGTTAGGTTTTTATTCTTGGCAATCCCGTTTGACAAAACTCCTTTTAGTTGTACTTATTTTCGCACTTTTTATTTCAGTGAGGCTATGAGTGTTTAGATGCGAATCCAATCCAAATTGTGCCTTGTAGAGAAGTTTGTGATGTTAATACTTTCAAGATTGCTACTTCGCTGATTATGACGGGGATCGAGTTGCCCGGTCAGCTGGTGGGGTCGAGGGGCAACGCCCCCGAAACAAAATGCAAAATTACATTCAAAGTTGCATGTCCGCCCTTGCTCGCTCAAGCGAAGGAGTTCTCGCTCGAGCGAAGGCTGCGTCCGTATAAAAACCTAAAAGAGATTATTTTACGCTCGAGCGCAGGTTGTTTGGCTTGAGCGAAGCCACTTATGGAAAACACACATTTTTGATTCCTCGCTCGAGCGAGAGAGTCTTCGCTCGAGCGAGGGAGTCTTCGGTCGATCGAGCTTCGCAGTCCCAGATTTCTATAAGTATGGGTTTCTGTCAAATTTTAGGATTACTGCTCCAGATCTTCTTTTTGGATATTAAGGTTTATCTTTGGAGATATTTTGCTAGTTTTCTTTGATGTTTTGATTGAGTATTCAACTCATGGTTTTAGAAGTTTACATCAAAGGATTGTTTGTTTAATTCTATACAAAAGAGAGAGTTGTTTTTCGGTGGATTTTGAAGAATACGAGCCTGAAGCTTTGGTGGATTCTGGAGTGGCTCATCGTCAAGACAATTCTGAGGTGAAGACGGGGTTGGAAGAGACACATAGGGGTTGGTTCAATTCGAGCATAGATTCGCTGGGTAATTGAGAGTATACCTGTGTAATTCCTTTATATCTTCTTAGTAGATTGTTTTGTGGCTGTTGCTCGTGGTTTTTTTATCACAATTGGAGGTGTCCAATTGTGGTTTTTCCACGTAAAATCGTTGTGTCGATTTGTTATGATTGTTTGATTGAGATTGTTATTTACTGCTTAAAATTGATACATAATCACAAATCAACATTTAAGAGATTTCTAGATTTTTCAAAAGCTAATGGTGGATTGTCTGTTTCTGCCTGTTGCCACAGGAAGATGAATGGGAGAAAATAACAACGGGAATAAAAAAAAACTCTTTGGTCATGGTGGAGTCTAGTGGTGCTTGTGTAAGTAGAAAATAAGGAAATGAAGGAAATAAAATACAAAGGAAAGCCAAGAAAATGGAGTGTTAGAAAATGTTTGGCATGTTGTAACGGCATAAAAAAGAAAATTAAAAAAGAGAGATGGTAATAAACGCTTCGTTTGATTTAGTTTTAGAATTATAATTTGAGTGTAGAGTTCTGATTTAAGTGTAAAATTATAAATTCAGTTTTGAAAAGAAAAAAATTTGTTTGGTTATGAGTTTTGAAAAGAGTATTTGAATTTTGAATTTTGAATTTTGAAAAGAGTTTTGAATTTTATTTTGAGTTTTGAATTGTATTTTGAAATTTTTTGAATTTAATTTTTTAAAATATTTAATAAAATTTTATTTTTTATTTTAAATATTTCTTCATGAATGTTTAAAATTAAAAATAAAAATAAAAATTCCTAATCAAAATCCCCAATTTGAGTACAAACCACCACAAATCAAAACCTCTAATTTTAATACAAATCAAAAAATTTAAATTTAGCACAAATCAAAACAAATCAAAATTCCTAATTTTAGCACAAATTATGACAAATCAAAATCCCTAATTTAAATATTAATCACCACAAATCAATATTTTTAATTTTAACACAAATCAAATCCCTAATTTTAGCACAAACAATAATAAACCAAAATTCCTAATAACTAAAAAATTAAAATATTTAAAAATATATTTATAAAATAAAATAAAATATTTAAAATAAAAAATATTTAAAATATTTTTTTAATATTTAAAAATATATTAAGAATATTAAAAAAATACAATACACAAATGAATGAAATACAATGTACATTAAAATAAATAAATAAATATTTAAAATATAAAATATTTACCCTAAAAAAATAAAATTAAGAAAAAATTTAAATATTTAAAAAAAAAAAATCCAAAAAATTTCAAAATACAACTTAAAACTCTTTTCAAAACACATAACTAAATAAATTTTTTTTTTTTTTTAAAACTCAACTCAAAACTCATAACTCAAAATACGACTCTACATTCAAATCATAATTATAAAAATAATTTAAAAAAACAAAACAAAACAATATTTTTTTAAATTTTTTTAAAAGTAAAATTTTGAAAATAATTTTTTGAATTGAGTTTAATATGCTGTTGAATTATTTGTGTGGTTATAAATTTTAAACATCACATTAACAAACCTCCACGCACATTAAAATGTTGAATTATTTGTGTGGTTATAAATTTTAAACATCACATTAATAAACCTCCACGCACATTAAAATTATTAAAAGTTATAAATTAGAATTTCAAAATAATTTTGTAAAATTAATGGGTCTCCTGTCCTGTCGGGCGAACTCCAATTTGTCTAGCCTTTGGAACGGACGGGACGGATTAATATAAACCCGTTTTCCGACCCCTGACCATCCATATTCCCGGTTAATTGTGACCGCGTCGTAAATTTTCGAATTAGGTCTTCGAATTTCTCAGTGTTCTCTCTCTCTCCGACATCTTCGATTCTGTTCGAAATTGCTGCTCTCTCTCTCTCTCCCTCTAAGATGCCGTCAATGGCTCCTGGCGGAGCCAAGAACTCCAACCAGAGCAATAATCAACTGAACAGTAAAGTATCCAATGACGATCGCAGGGCCGAATTCTTCGCCAGGTCTCATTCTTTCTGTTCGTATCCATTTTTTTTTTTTGGTTTGATGTTTTCTACCTATTTATCTATATATCTATCTAGGAAGCATAGGATTGCGCAACAGAGAAAATCACTACCAATCGCTTCAGGTATTTGGTTGATGTTTATAGTGCTTATGCACAGTTCATCTGCTTTAGATTTCTTCTTCTTTCCAAGTCCGCAGTTGCTTTCAATCATTGTACTGTTGTTTTGTTATTGTTTTCCATGCAATTGATATGAACCCCTTTTGGGGATTCTTATTTTTGAAACAAGTCTAATGTATGCATATATTTTTGGACAAATTATACCGGTGGTTTCTACAGTTTTAATTGACTCAATTTTGATCATTAATTTTAGATTTGCGCCAATTTAGGCGATATAGAAAATGGTCCGTTAGGTCTTGTTTGGGAATAGACTTTTTTAGTAATATTTTGACTTTTTGGCTAAAATATGATATAAAAAAATTAGTACGTTTGGGATGAGTTTTTGGTTTTTTACGAAAAGATAATGCAAAAAGTAGAGAGAAAATGGAATCTTTAACATTTTGATATAAGTTGTTGGTTTTTTGATTTTTTTAGTGACGTTTTGGCTTTTTGATTAAAAAAGTCATTTGCCAAACGAGACCTTAGTTGATTGAGGTTAAGTCAATGAATAGATTAAATTTACAATTTTACCCTTAAAATATAACATATGCTGCCCATGTGCACATTTTTGATAAGAAAAATGCTGATAATTTGACCAATTTGAGACCAAGTAAAAAATTGAGGGTGAAAATCAAGCCAATTGAAATTAGAGAGAGCAAAATGACACAAGGGCCAAAGTAGAAGAACTAGAGGTGTAATTTGCCCTATATTTTTTCATCCCATGGGGAGGGGTCGGGGGATATGAGTTTAAACGTGTGATAAAAATAGAAGAAGTTAGAGCAAGTCTAAGGTTAACTTTGCAGTTGGCACTGACATTTTTTTTTGGGAAACAGAGGACAGGGTTTTTAATTGTTTATAGTCATTTCTAATATTTGTTAGCAGACTTTTACTTATAAAGGAAAAAAAATTATTGCAAAATTTTTTGATGTTGCTGTACTATTTTTGGCCAGTAGTCATGTCATTGCAGGGGAGTCATTGTTCCTGCTTCATATATGCTGTTGGGTGTTTGTAAATGCTGTTAATAATACTAGGCAACCATATTGACGATTGAAGTTTCATTACGTTGCGGATAATGATAGAAGGCTGGCTCCTAAGATGGCGTATCGCCCTACATAAAATCATTAGAAGTGTAAATAACCTTTAGCTTTCATTGTTTCACTTGGATTTAGTGCAACCTCTTTACCTAATGATGAAAGCAGAGATTAAACATGAAAATGCATGATTTCTTGTTGACTAGTTGAGCACTTTTTAGGATGTTGTCTAAGTAAATATTTTTGGTCATCTTGGAGATCAATTACATGGCATCTTGTCGTATTTTTGTTTGGTAAATTAAAGGCCTATTCTAAGAAGGATCTCATTTTCTTACAGTTTTATTCAAGACTCTTTTGCTTGTTAATTTAACATGACACTAGTTTATGGAGGTAAATAGTTTATTAATCATTATATCCCATACTCTTCAATTTTTTGTTGACATTGGCAATGAAACCTAGACAGAATTATGAAGGTAAAATTACTTGTGCTTTTATGGAATGGTATTGAGAATTTAAAGTTCAATCATGTCATACATTGAGTTTATTTTTGCATACTCAAAATATGTTCTCTTTTCATATGGTTTCTTAATTTTGGTTTAGCATGCAAGTATTTGTTTCTCATATCATTGATGATTCCCTAGTTGAAAAACGACTTGTGGAGGAGGTCAGGAGTAACAATATATTGATAATTGTTGGTGAAACTGGAAGTGGAAAAACAACACGTAAGTTCTTATCCTTATAAGTTTTTGATTACTGTTTTTTAATTTCCTTTATTATTATGGTGGGTGTGTGTGTGTGTGTGTGTGAAGGAAAGATTCAAGAATGTTAAGTCTAATATGCTTTATGGTGTTCCATTTTATTGCATCATATAAATTGTAGGTTGGTGCTTTTCATATGCCATGACATGTTCTCTTTCGTGTTTTTTTTTTTATTTTATTTAATATTATATTGCTTCTTCCACTTATCGGGGAAAATATATTTGTATTACTTATTTCTTCCCATGCTTAAATATGCACTATACTTAAAGTTGTGCATATAAAATAGTTAGTAGTGGAGGAGTGCTTCTGGCATATTATGTGATCAAGGAATACTAACAAAGAAAAATGGCTACCACAAGCTATGGGGCAAAAACCAAGCCATGATATGAAGACAAAAGAAGAATAACAGCGAAAAATCTAGATTTTATTCACCAAAACCTTCACCTGATATACCCCATTATATGTGCATATAGATAGTTATATTAAAACTTGTTCTCTGAGGAAGATATCCTAGAAAACTTTTCTCAACTAGTAATAGCTTCAGAACCAAGTGACTTCACCCTCAAGTAACCCTAATATGGTAATTACTTAGACCCTAACTAAAATCCATGGCCATTAGAAACAAATCCAGGGACACTAACCCAATCCTGGACTTGACAAAAATTGATTGGAAACCCTAAAACTTAAATATACTAAATTTAAATAAACCAGATTTTTTTTAAAGCCCAACAAGTCATCCTTTGTGGAAAAAAAAACCACTCCATCTTGAGCACATCATTTTGTGTCCATGGGGCTTCCCTCTCTAACCTTTTATTCTTATATGGGCTTTTGTTTTGCTTCTTTTAGAGTTGCCACAGTTTCTGTTTAATGCGGGGTTATGCCATGATGGGAAAGTCGTTGGTATCACGCAACCTAGACGTGTTGCAGCTGTTAGTGTTGCAAAACGGGTAGCTGAGGAATGTGGTGTTCAATTGGGCCAAAGAGTTGGGTATTCCATTAGATTTGATGATACGACTTCCAGTTCAACAAGGATTAAATACATGACAGATGGATTGCTTTTGAGGTAATAAGTATTCATGACTTAATCGTATTATGTTGATTGTTAAGTCACCAAAATGTTTCTATATTAAGTCTGTTTTAGTTTGATTAGCATTTTCTGGAAAAATATTGCATATTTTTTGTAGTTTGTAGGTAGGTTGGTCCATTTAGATAGTCATGTCTAATGGGCAATAAAAATTATGTCACGGTTTTAAGCCTGAAACTTTTTCTTTGTGGTTAATTATTTGTTCTCTAATATTTTATCCCAGCCGGGAGGGTTAAGTTACATATTATGGGTTCAGTCTTCAGTGTAAGTGCCGAAGGATACCTCAGGCATCCAAGACATAGAGAAGATTTCAAGATGACCTTTTCTTCTCTGGGTTAAATGGATGTGAATACAAGTAGGGCAGCAGGTTTGAGAAAATAAGATAGTGACGGACTGAAGATTTTAGTACTATTGGAGCAATTGATGGATTTGTGGTGTTGAAAAATGGTATAGGAGGTCTGGATTATTTAAACTAATTATAGGGCTATTCACTTGCTGGAACTTTATCATGTTATCTTATTACATGCGAACTAATATGAGGTTAAATATACTTACAGGGAAGCGTTATTGGACCCATATCTCTCTAGATATTCAGTTATTATTGTTGATGAGGCTCACGAGAGAACTGTCCACACTGATGTCTTGCTGGGTTTACTGAAAAGTGTACAGAAAGTAAGGTCAGTACCTATCAATGAATGCCCTAATATTGACCGTATGAAGGCTAACAACGGTCTGCTGATGGAGAAAGAAAATGATGCTCAACGTGCTAGTATTCTCAAGCAGTGTAGGGGCATAAAGCTCAGTCCATTGAAGTTAATCATCATGTCTGCTAGTCTGGATGCACGAGTTTTTTCTGAGTATTTTGGTGGTGCTAGAGCTGTTCATGTTCAAGGGCGACAGTTTCCTGTGGATATACTCTACACTCGTCATCCTGAGACAGATTACCTTGACGCCACTTTAATAACTTTATTTCAGGTTGTCAATTGAGCTTCTTTTGGTTGCTTCCAACCTATACACTCCATTAGCCCGTAATTTTTTTTTTCAACTTTTGTGATGTGCAACTGATACTGAGTTTGCTAGAGTCTAATCTTTTGCTCTTTTTCCAAATAGAATTTGGGCTACACAGGTCATTTGTTTTATTTTTTTGGTGTGCATATCTGTGATTTTTTTGAAGCCTGTTTAGGATACTTTCACCTGGTTACTTGCTATGCAGTTTTCAATGTCTCATGTTTCTTTTTGTGATGGACGGACTGTAGTTTTTCAAGTCCTTTTTTCTTGCTGATCAAAAGGGCTTTCTTGGAACCTAAACATCTCTCAATCTTGACCTAAATCAATTTGAGTCTGCAATTGTTTTATTTGTTATTAGTTGTTGCCTGGCTATCCTTGTTGGCATTCATTCTTACAGTTTCATTAACTCATTTTGTCATCTTGGTAGATACATTTGGAGGAGGGTCCTGGTGATATACTTGTATTCTTGACTGGCCAAGAAGAGATTGAATCTGTTGAGAGGCTTGTCCAAGAAAAACTTCGACAATTGCCAGAAGACAATCAGAAGGTCAAAGTTTTGTCGATATTCTCATCTCTCCCTTCAGAAAAGCAGATGCAGGTCTTTATGCCAGCTCCAACTGGATTTCGCAAGGTAGATTGTTGGTGCATGGTAGATTTCTTTTGGGTAGGGGATGAGCGGATATATATTATTGTCATTATAAATGCCTAATTCAATAACTTTTATTGTAATTTTTAGAGGGAAAACAATTAATGGATCTTTATTCAAGTCTGTCTGAGTGTCATTGTAGTGTGATCTCCGTGGTTGAAGCTGATTCTGTAAATAATGGGATAATCTCACGCTGTAGAGGGCAACTTGTCATAAGAAATGCCACAATATTATTGGCAGTCATGCAATTGAAACTTTTATAGGCAACTATGCTTGTCTGAAGCCCCTATGAGCATGATTAATGAAATATCAATGGGTTGCTAACTTGCTATCAATAATTGGACAAAATTAAGTTATGTGAAGATTGAAAGAAGTCCATATCCTTGATCAGTGATTGCATGCCAAGTGCATTGACAATGATCTTTCCAGCGTAAGGTTTTGGTGAGTGCCTGCAACGTACCTTACTCTTCTGGTTACTCAAATGCTCCTTGAAGCATACAAGGGTGTTAAAAAGTACATCCAAGTGCATCAGGATGGCACTTGCTCAGAGCTAAAAACGGTTACTCTTGTATATTGCACGACTGTCACAGGTGTTGGTAGGACAGTCTGATAGAGTTCTCTGCCTTTTTGAAAGGGTGTCTCTGGTGTATATACTGAATCAGACTCTGCCTTATTGGTAGAGGTTGTCCCTAGTGATGTTTTCATATATTTTAAGATGCTTCTAATCCTCTAAAATACTGGATCATGTATATTGATGTTTAAGATGAAATATATTGTGATAATGCAATTAATGGGCACTCTTTATTTCTTTGATCACTATTGTTTTTTGTTGTTCTTTTGGTATTAATATTTGGATTGGGCATGATTTTCAATGTTGTACATTGTAAGTGCGAGCTATACTTGCATTTTGTGTCATCTATTTTGTTGCTGATGCACTGCTCTTAACAACTAAAGGTGTCTGTGTGTCTAAGCACCAGTTACATGTTTTGTTCAGGTAATACTGGCAACTAATATTGCTGAAACTTCTGTAACAATACCTGGAATCAAGTATGTGATAGATCCTGGATTCGTGAAAGCACGCACCTACTGTGTTCATACAGGGATGGAATCATTGAACATTGTTCCAACCTCAAAAGCACAGGCTCTTCAAAGAAGGTAGGCATACTGGACTATAGCTTACGGAAAAAATCCATTTTATGCTTTTTTTTTTAATTATTTTCATTTATTATTTTAAGTATGTTTCTTATTCAGTATATCATATCTTTAAAACATTTAAAAATAATGAGTGAATTTTTGTGAATTCATTCAATAGTCCTTTTGTTTACTTCCACACAATTTTCACTAAGGCTCTGTTTGTTTTGAAGTAAAATATTTTACGCAAAAAATTATTTTTCTTGTAAATTGATTTTACACAAAAATGTTTTTATTTTTGTTTTTTGGCGTTTGGTTGACACTTGAAACAAGCACATTTTATTACCTAAAAGAGAAATTTTGATTTAATAGAAGTGTTGTTTATGAGTTTTTAGTGAGCTAAGATACTTATTTAAAAATGCTAAATGTGTTGAAAAGATAGTGAGTGAGAGTCAATTTTGTAAAGATGGACTTACGGAATTTTTAAAGGTAAGTCATTTTTGAAAAAATGATGCAAAAATATTTTCCTTAAAAAATGTTTTACTTTTTGTTCTACCAAACAACGGAAAATGAGTAAAATAGTTTTAACAAAAACATTTTACGTCAAAATAAACGGAGCCTAACTGAAGAATAGATGAATGGATTTTAATCCTGTGCCTACTATATTTATTTCAGTGGACGTGCAGGCCGTGAAGGACCTGGAAAATGCTTCCGCCTCTATCCTGAGAGTGAATTTGAGAAACTCAGTGATTCCACAGATCCAGAGATTAGCCGGTGCAACCTTTCAAATGTCATTTTGCAACTCAAGGCTCTTGGTGTTGATGATATTATTGGGTTTGACTTCATGGAAAAACCATCAAGGTGAAAGAAATAATACAATGAGAATGGTTTAACACTTAGCGTTTCGCGATTGGCTGTTTGTGCATGCATTTTTTGATAAAGTTCTGATTATGTCAACTTTACTAGGCCCAATGATGGCTTTTTTGGGTTGATCACCTCATCTTATTTGCTTATGTACTTTGTGTCGTATTTAACTGTCTGTCTGGCCTCTTTTTTTTTTATTTTTTTATATAACTATTTCAACAAAAGTCCTTCATTCCTTCTCATTTTTCTTGTTGTACTATCCAAACAACTTGATTGGAAGTAAAAAGTATAAAATGTTAGGAATACAACTAAAATGTTGTTAATTAAGCAATGATGTTAAAAAAAGTCAATTAATGTTTTTAGCTTATGAGGTTTGCAAAGCATAATTTGTATCCATCCATCTTATTGTAAAAGCTTGGATTAAAGCATGTTTTTTGGTCGGATTTGCTTTGATTTGTCTAATTATATTGCTCCTTGGTAGTGCAAATTAAGTTTTTTTTTTGGGTGAATAAGTGCAAATTAAGTTTTCATTGCATTTGCAGGAAGGTTTTATTGGGTTAATTATGATGCATATTTATGCCTACAATTTAGTGGAGCAATTTCTATAACCAGATCTAGGTACAAGGAGAGCAAAATAGATAGAATAAGAGAAAATTCTCATTCCCCACTTGAATCCCTTTGGCATCAGTGTGGGGGTAAGCTTGCATTGCACAACCTTCAACTTCTCTAAAACTTGTGTTTTCATATTTAGTAACTTAAAGACTTGGTAGCAAAACTCATAAAAACCTGCCAATGTCTATTAATGAAGACCAAATACCACAAATAACCTAAAATCTTACAGGCATACCAATATTGCAGTCCATGTTGAAAGAAAGTTTAGAAGATTATTAAAAGATCCTTGACTCCAAAAACATAATAACACATCTGAAAAACTGAAATAGAAATGTTTGACTTCAAACATAAAATAAGATTAAATTTGATTTTAAAAGTAAAATACAAGCTCCCAATTTGAAGCCACATAAATAACATGCCAAAGGCTTGGGCCTCGGGAACCTCTGTTCTTGCAGTTTGTACAGTTTGATAATGTACTGTAACTTGTCTCCATTAGTTATATTATTGTCCTCATTCGGTGCTAACTGTAGTTTCTTCAATGCTTTTATTTCTAATTTGATTTGTTTCCTAATTTGCCACTCAGGTATACGTCTATATCCTCGTGGCTGAGCAGTATAATATGTGTTATACAGTTTTTTTAATAATTTACTTGTTAATTGGATTCATATGACAAAAATATTCCTGACAAGCATCCCTATATCAATCGACATCGAGAAAAATTGCCTCTCAAATAATTTTGTTGTTAATTTGATCAACTTGACAAAATATTCCTGACAAGCACCCTTACATTAATTAACCTCATTATGATTCTATAGGAAACATCTACTTACCCTCTCCTTGGATAATTGAAGTGAGATAATCAAACTGGTTGTTTTTGGTCTAGAATGCAACAATATATATAGGCATAACGTTCTATTCATATTGGTAATTGTTCTCTTATTTACTTTAATCCAGTCTTCTTGATTTTCTTTGTTGTCTGTTAATTGTTAATCGTAATCCGTTTGGGAACTTACCTTTTTAGCCAAAAAGCCAAAAAGTTACTAAATTAGCCAAAAAGCCAACAACCCATACCAAAAAGTCAAAGATTCTCTTTTCTCTCTACTTTTTGCACATCTTTTCGTAATTAGCCAAAAAGTCATCCCAAACATACAAGTTTTTTTTAGCTACCTTTTTAGCCAAATAGCCAAAAAGTTACTAAATTAGCCTGTTCCCAAACGAGGCCTTTCTGTAATTATCTGTATATCATCCATCTTGTCTGCTTTCTCAAGGAGCCTACAATATTTACCAGAAAACTGCTGGCTTTTGACATTTGCTGAATGTTCATTCCATTTGCTGAATTTCATTTTTATGTCACAGAATAGTATTATATGGTTAAAGAAAATTTATCCCATTAATTGTCATTTGAACAGTACAGCTGTTGTCAAATCATTGGAGTTACTGGTCTTGCTAGGTGCTCTAACAGAGGAATATAAATTGTCAGATCCAGTTGGGCATCAAATGGCCCGGCTACCCTTAGAGCCTATTTATTCCAAGGCACTTATCCTGGCTAGTCAGTTCAATTGCTTGGAAGAAATGTTAATAACTGTTGCAATGCTGTCAGTGGAATCTGTATTTTATAACCCTCGTGAGAAGTTAGAGGAGGTATGCTGCATGATCTTTTTCTAATGTATGTTGCTTGTGTTTTTGCAGCTGTTAAGTTTACACGATAAAGTGATTGTAAGTAATTTTATTTGCCAAGATCATCTGCAATAAATTAACCATCACTTAGTTGATAAATATTTGAATCATAATGTTCGAAGTTTGGATACTTTATTTCCGCTGAGTTTGGTAGTTGCTTAAATAATTGAAGCAGTATATGGGGTAAGTGGAGGGTGGTTCTGGATTACTGTATCGTTCATGTATACCCATGAAGGTGAAAAAATCTATTAAACCACTATAAGATGAGTCATAGATAGGGACAGAACATGCTCATGAAATGACACTAGGCTGAAATTGTGATTGTTAATATCAACATGGAAAAACCCAAAAAACTAGAACTATGTTCCAACTTCCAGCACATTCATGAGACAGTGGAAGCCAACAGATAGGAGATTAGGAGAGAAAACTTACTAAGTTGGTTCGGTGATGTGCAACGAAGAACCATAACCAGATGAAACTGAGTGAAATGAATGGTGTGCTCTACTTTGAAGGAAATGCTAGAAGGGGTAGACCAATTGATGCAGAGTATAAGAAGGTCAAGGAAGGTTAAATTCAAAAAAGTAAAACTTGTTTGGTTTTGGTTTTCAGAAAACAGTTTTCAGAAAATTCTACTTTTTTATTTTCCTTATTTTAATGTTTTCAATTAATTTTTTTGATATTTTAAGCATTTTTTTAAAAATTTTTAGACACACCTAACATAAATATATTTAAAAAGTATAATATTTGTGAAAAAAAATCTTTAAAAAATCCTCTAAATATCAAAAAATACTAAAAAAATACAAAAATTTAGTACATTTTTTTGTATTCATTAATTTTTTAAAATATTTTTTCACAAATATTTTACCATTTAGATACATCTAAGTAAGGTGCATCTAAAGAAGTATAAAAATTGCTTAAAATTTAAAAAAGATTCACTAAAAACAAAAAACATGAAAAATAAAAAACTCAATTTTCAAAAAATTGAACTCAAAAAATTGAAACCAAACACACTGAAGATAGTTGGACATTGGCATGATTTCAAAAAGAAACTGATAGCAATCTTATATAATTATGTTTTTAGTATTATTAGAGTCTTATTTTATGATTATTTTTATATATTTTAGGATTTTTTAGTTAGGGATATTTTGGTAATTTTCATATTTGATGACGTGGCGTGTAGGGGTCACCATGGGTCATTTTGTGGGTAAGTTATTTAATTGGTTTTTATTTATGCTTCTTGTTAAAACCTATCACCTACTTCACCCACTTAAACCTACTCCACTAAACCTAACCCACTACACCACTACCACCTTACCTACTCCATTAAACCTAACCCACTACACCACTACCACCTCCACTTCACCTACTCCTTACCTACTAACACTCACCCTCTTCTATATATAGGAATCATGAATCATTGTAATAAATATAACATTAATATCAATCAATAATACAATTCTCTATTTCTCTTTATACATTAAATTTTCTACATGGTATCAGAGCAAGGTTAAGCACTTAGTATTTTTCGCTTCACCGGCGGGCGGCAACCTTGCCTTGGCCGCCCGCCGGACCTCAACCTAATCTGCTAGAATTTTCTACACATACCTTGAAATTTCTTCGAGTCCACCACCACTGCCCCTCCTCTCACTGTTGTCCTCCCATACACCACCATCTCGGTCGTCTTCATCTACCACCACTGTTGACCTTAACCCGTCGCTGCAGTCCTTTCAATCTGATCAACGGCTGGACACACACACACAATGCAAATCTCTCTCTCTCTGATACAGAGGCACAAATACACAGAATATGCAAGTTCTTGTGTGGGAATAGTGTGTTTGGTCATAGTATTGTGTTCAGCTGTGCCAAGTTTGGCCACAGTTTACACAGTAGGTGACTCGAGTGGATGGGCTATTGGTGTTGATTACAGCACCTGGACTAGCGGCAATGACCTCTTTCAGTCCTCTCCACACAGCAGGGCTTCAAACCCTATAATCCAAGACTCGCAATTCGGCAACATGTTTAGTCCATTACTGCAGGCACCCATTCTGCCAAAATCTCCATCCTCGTCCGCACGCAAAGGAGGATCATGCGTTTGGGTGAAATCTGGTCACAAACAGGCCACTGTGAGAGTCGAGGGGTTCGATTGCTTAAACCGAGATCGCAGAAGCATATCCGTTGTGGCATAAAAATAAAAGTAAAAAAAGCAAAAACACCCTCCAAAAGCAGGAGGGGGGAGGCAAGAAGATGAATTTTGGGGAGAAGAGGACTTGTAACATTGTTTTGTTTTTTGCTTTTGTATATACAAGGTTGAAATGGTTCAATCATTTGTTTAGAGGTTGTGTTTGAATGAGAGAATATGCAAAATGTATATGTAATTAGGTTTGAATGGATGAGGAGAGAGATGGATGATCCTGCAATAAGAGTAAAAAGTCCATTGTCTTGGGTTTTTAGGTGGTGAGTTTTTTAAGACATATTGTTGCGAGTCTAGTCCTGCATTGTAATTGGAAGGGTGAGGAGTAAGTAGATGTGTCTGCTTTGAAATTTTCTGAGTTTTGTTCTTTGAATTGTTGCAACAAAATTTGATTTCCTTTGTATAATAGGATGTGGAAATGAGTTTGCCAAAGCAAGCACAAGTGTATATATATAAAGATGAAAACAAAGTTGTTTGTTTATGGTGTTTTAAATATTGAATGTGTGTTGAGTGAGTGTGAATAAATAATATGAAAAGGCGAGTTGGGAGAGGTGGGTGGGTTGTGTGATAAAAAGACATGGGAAGGTACGTGGCTGTGTTTGCTTTTGTCAGGGTGAGGATGGACACACTTGAATGGTGAGGGGTTGAAGTGGGGTACTATTCTTTGTTTGAAAGTTCATATGGCAGGCTGACCACTTTTCGTGGTAGATGCAGCTGACCTGTTGGGTGCTAATCCAAATAATTGAAGTGAGAGAA